CAGGCCTTTCTTCAATGGGTAGATGGGATGCAGACAAGCGCATTTGGTCTGAGACACCCTTTTGGAAGGAACTGAGAAAGGAGACTTTGGAGATGGTCCTCCAACACGTTGGGGACGAGAGAACACTGAATAGGGCTTGTTTTGAGATGGCAGTGCGTGGTGAGGAAGGATGTGCTATTGTTTGTGATGAAAACCTCAAAGCTAAGATACGCGCACTTTGGATCAGACTCTTGAGAAAACATGGTAGCGAGCAGGAAGGACTTGAGATCAAAGCAGAAGGTCAACCTTTTTATTTGAGGCTCATGAAGGAGTTGCTAGCATTTGCAGGCGACGTTGACAGGGAATTTCTTTTGGAAGGCGAAGTGGGCTTTCCTGTAGGTGTCTTGACACCACTTCCAAGAACGCCCCATGTCTACGAGGAACAAACCAGCTGGCGCTTGGAAGAAGAGCCTCTTATGAGGGAGGAGGTCTGGCGTTCAAATCATCAATCGGTGGATCTGCACACTGACTTTGTCTACAGCCATTTTGATGAAGAATGTGAAGAAGGCTTGATGGAGAAACTGACTATGGAACAGGCAAAAGAAAATACGGTGACACCCAGCAGTATCATCTCTTGCAGTCCTGGTGGAAGAGAACCATCAAGGGAAGCGTCGAATAATACACGACGCAACGCATGGCACCTTGGTCAACAACAGGATCAGATGCAGGGACAAAGTCAGAAGTCCCAGTGCCAGGGAGAAGCAGTACCTGTTGGCGCTTTTCAAGAGTCAAAGCCGTTCAGTTTGCAGTCTCGTAGGGGACATAAGCAAAGCGCACCGGAGATTTCTTCATGCGCCATGTGAGCGCGGCCTACTTGCGTGCAAGGTGAAGGAGGATGACAACTTCATTTACGTGAATAAGGTTGGCACGTTTGGAGTTGCTTGTGCATCATACTGGTGGTCAAGGATTTCTGGAGCTGGTGTGAGGTTGGTACATGAGTTGCTGGGCCGAGATATGGCCATTGAGATACTTATCTTTGCTGATGATATAGAGGCCGTTGCGGCCCACGCTGGTGGAAGGAGGGGGATCACACTTTGTTTCCTTTACATGTCAATTTTGGGATTCCCATTTAATGGGCTAAACAACGTGGTGGCTTGCGTGTCGAATGGATTGGACTTTACGCTGACTATCCGACGTTCGGGATTGGACTATCGCCCAGCAGGGCAACTTGGATGCGCAACTGGGTTTTGGAAATGGCCAATAGCGGTCGCGTCCTAAATGGACAAAGTTGGCAGCAAGTTTTTCAGCGATATCCGAGATGGATGTCGAATGCGACAACAGTCATAGCCACCTGCCATGGGGAAAAACCTTGGATGATGAAGGTAATGAAGTTTTTGCAACAACCTTAGAAGCGCAGTATCCCAGGAAGTTTTGTCATGCTTTGGTTCAGTGCGTAGTACGGCAGTTGCAAAGGCAAGGCATGCAGGTACTTCCTGATTCCCTTTTTGATGTGAGAAATGAGAGAGTTTTTGAGATGCAGGCGGCTCGAATTTCAGCGCAACAGCAGTCACGGCGCAGCAAGCTTCCACCTTTGATTTCTGATGTGGCCTCAGTTGCAGTTTTCTTTGTTAAACAGCCGTCGGATGTCCCATTTTCGTTGCAAAGCAAACTGGACAAACCTTTGAGCGTTTTCACCGAGTCAGGCATGTCTGCACAGGTACCACAGTTTGCCAGGTTTTTGCGAAGAACTGCCACTCATTCACCATTTTCTGTTCAGGGGGGATTGCGAACTGGCGATGAGTGTTTCGAAGTTGCTTTTGGCATGCCATGGACGCCTGAACAATTTATTTCAAAGGTTGTGGAAAGGGGACACCCAGCTAATTTTTGCAAGCTGATTCCGCAAGACCTGGCGGAAGCAATAGAATTTCATGTGCAGAACACCTCTTAAGTGTCGGAGCACAGACTTTCCTGGTGCAAGCGCTGGCTTCAACGAGCAGCAGTGCTGGACAGGGAAGAGATGCTGGGAGCCAAGTTGCGGCACCCTTCCACCTTGAAAAAGCGAATCAAATTGACAAAGGAAATCCTGGAAAGTCTACACTATGAAGACATTGAAGCCCTCAAGATTCTTGAGGAGGGGTCAACCTTAGCTGGAGAAATTGAGGGCGCAAAAGTTTTTCAGCAAGCGTACAAACCATGTCTTTCAACCTTGGAACAGCTGGAAGAGAATGCAGAAAAGAGGAACCTGCTGGTCTTGTCAATGACCAAAAGCTCCGCATCTCTTGACTTGGATGCAGCAGTGCTGCAAGAAACAAGAGATGAGGTCAACAAAGGTTGGGCAGATGGCCCTTGGAGTTTGGAGCAGCTTGAAAAAGGCGCAACTATCTCCAAAAGATTCCCCCTAGCCCAGGGGGAGAAAGTTCGCATGATCGACGATTACTCCGTGTCAAGAGTCAATGATAGTTGCACTGTAAACTCAAAATTGGACTTGCACATGATTGACACGTTTGTAGCAGTAATCAAGGCGTACTTCGAGCAGATGAAAGGAGCCATGGCTGACAGCAGCCTACTTGCAAAGACGTATGACCTGAAAGCAGCGTACCGCCAAATCCCGGTGCGCAAGGATCACTTGAAGTATGCCTACTTCAGCATCTACAATCACGAGCTTGCTACAGTGGAAATTTACCGCTCTCGAACGTTGCCATTTGGGGCAGCCCACAGTGTCTACAGTTTCTTGAGACTTGCCAAAATGTTGCACTTCATAGCCTGTAAGGGCCCACGACTGTTGACGACAAATTTCTACGACGACTTCATCCTTGCAAGCGGCCCAGATCTACAAGACTCTGCAAAAAATTGCCTTGAGTTGGTCTTCATGTTTACAGGTTGGGAGCACGCTAGAGAAGGGAAGAAGGCCACCTCCTTCTCCACCAAAGATGGTATCTTGGAAGTGAAAAATACTGAAAAACGGATCATGGACCTAACCGAGCAACTTGAACAGGTTTTGCAGCAGCGGTCCTTGAACCGACACGAAACTTTGAAGCTGAAAGGACGTCTTGGATTCGCTGATGGATTCTTGCACGGACGGTTGGGCGCTCTGGTGCTCAAGAGGTTGGTGGATCACGCTTACAGCTTTAGCAATGTGGTTGACAACGAGTTAGCAACAGTTTTGGAACTCATGGTCAAACGTTTGCGGTGTGCTGGACCCAAACGAGTTGATGCAAACACTGTGAACGAATGGAGCATTTTCACTGATGCTTCCTTTGAAAACCAGCTTGGCTCAGGTGGTCTAGGAGGAGTTCTTGTAGACTGCTTGGGAAATTGCCGTGCTTGGTTTTCTTTGAAACTTGAACCAAATGAATGCAAGTTGTTAGGCGCCGACAGCAAAGAGACAATAATATATGAACTGGAACTGCTAGCATGCTGCATAGCTATGGACATGTGGGGCGATGTTTTGGCCTCAGCATATCCTGTACTTTATGGAGATAATGACAGCGTGCGATTTGCGCTGATCAGAGGTACTGGCCTTGGACTTGTTGCGGAAGTCATCATGAAGCAGCACCTTGAAAGAGAAGTGAATTACAATACAAACGTTTGGTTCGCACCTGTGCCTTCAGAGGCAAACATAGCTGACATACCGTCGCGCTTCCTTCAACACCCTTTCTTGCAACCTTCAATGGATGAGTCAAGCAAATCAATGCAGAACTTAGCAAAGTTCTTGAAGAACGTAAAACTGGCTCGCGAGGAGGTGAAGAGAAAAGGGGAGGCAATCACCTCGTCGCTCCCCAAGTTCAAAAAGAAGTCCGTCAGCAGCTGCACCAAATGAAGACTTGACGATGCAGCTTTTGGAACAAAATCGAATTGTCTTGTCGAATTTGAACAAAGTCATTTGTGTGTGCAGCATTTCGCTTAAGGGTTGGAGTGGGCGGGATCGTCAAACGATTTCTGCAGGTTGGTCAAAAAGACCCACCCACAATCCACCCTTTTGCCCAACAGTTTTCACCAAACTTTCACACAGTCTGAGGAGCCTAGCACAGCCGTCAGGCAATCACCTCGTCGCTCCCCAAATTCAAAAAGAAGTCCGTCAGCAGCTGCACCAAATGAAAACTTGACAGTAATTTCCGTCTTACCTGTTTACCCTACTTTGCGTGGCATCGGCGGTTTTACCCGCTTACGTGGTTTGGGTTTCTCATTACGTTATCGACGTTGCGTATAGCGATGCGGCGACGTTTCGTTAAACAATCTTGGGTTTTACCACATTCAACAGAAACAACGTTTGATGTCAAATCTTGCATTGGCAGTTGCATCTTGTGATGTCAGTTTTTTCAATTTTGCTCATTTGATGTTCTCAGAGTTTTTACATCATTTTATTGCCTTGCAGAATGGCCCAACTTCTTAGCACCCACCCTCTGCCACCCTTTGTTGTTTCTTTTATGAAACCGTCTCTTGCCATTTCCTTGGTTGGGGTTTTATCTCCCCTACTCATCCCACAGCCAAATGGCTACGGGTTTCTTTTACGAAGTTAAACATCAGTTCAGCCGATGCTGTTAAGCATCCGTTTCAACTTGAAATGGCACCTCTCCATTTTTGCCGCAGAAAAGGGACCGTTATTGCAATTGCTGGTTGTTTCTTGTGATGTCTGTTGATTTGCAGTTGATGTCACGCGTAGCGTATTTAGGTTTTATAGAAACAACAATGAATTGTACAGTTTATGATAATTTTTGGCCAGTGAAATGCCAAACTTTGCGGGAATGAAGCAAAACAGGCAATGTCGACAATACCCTAGATTCTTTGATGCGAAACTAGCATTTCCAACATTTGTTTTTGTGCGTTGTTGATAGTAAGTGTGGTTTTTGCACTGGACAATTTGCAGCGAATCCTGTCTTTCTGAATTTCGTTCATGACTGTACAAATTTATTTATTCAAACTTGAAAATTTGGACAAAACTAAAATCGAAATCTCAATTGTGCTGCGTGGCGGTTGCCTTCAAGGTGGCCGCGCACTAGACACCGGGGCGACAACTAGTTATGATGACACCCTCCAGGTGCTCGTGTCGAGCTGATTCAGGGCTACATTTACCCGATTTGGGGGTGGGCCAAAATTTTTGAGATGCACCAAAATTTCAGGAGAAAAGGGGTTCAAAATTGATCATAAATATGGATTGGTTTAATTAGTCTTCACATCCAGGTCTTGGGTAGTGGTAACCTACTTTTGAATCATGATAAGGTTCCAGGAATCGAAATTGCGGTTGATACGTGTGATATTGTTTTTTTTGGGAAAAATTCTGGGAACCTTGGTGTATAAACCATTGTGAATGGGTTTAAACGTTGTGAATGGGTCAATTTTAAGGGATATATATACATATATATTTATACATGTATAGGTATATGTATGTTTGTACTTACAATTGTATTGTGCACAACCCTGAAGGTGGGCTGTTATGCGATGAGTGCTTCAAAGGGACAAATGGAAGACTCCAACTGCAGCAAAATGGAACCCAGAGTCGTAAAGAGAAATCCACCGGCCTCATCCTTCAGAAAACAGCGGCTTTTAGTTGGTGAAACCCAATTCCACTTGGCTTAAAGATTTTTACCCTCTGGTTATTTAACATAGCCATGGAAAATGGCCCATTTATAGATGGTTTATATATTAAACATGGTGATTTTCCATGGCTATGTTAAATAACCAGATGGTATATCAAATGATTTACATCCCCATTTTTGTCAGTTAAATCCATGTTTTTGCCGATTCAACCAATATGTTGGTTGCTTAAATCCATTTTCGTAAGGCCCTCCACCATGGCTTTGGCTGTTGCTGCGGCTGCGGCCACTGGATGTTCCCTTCAGGCGCAGTGGGACAACGGTGGTGACAGTGGTGATCATGGTGAAATATTGCTGGGAGATTGGGTATAAACTGGATATGATGTGTGGATTTTTCATTTTTTTTGGCTGATCATAGGGAGTCTTATTTAGAAACAGTTTGAAACCAGTAACCGCATGTGACCGGGATTGGGACCATGCAAGGGATTAAAACCCAAGTTTCAGTCTTTCAAAATGGAGATATATAGATTGGAGGTATATTTCCAATTTTTGGGCAATAAACCCAAAGCATCTTGTATTTTCCATTGAATCTCATGTTTTTTGTATCATCTTGTTGATAAAATCAATTTTGTTGGTTGCTTATATAAGTTACTGTAAGTCATATCCCCATCAGAACGCAACATTTTGGCTACTGAAATCCGCATTTTTCTCGGTCAAATTCCCATTTCAACAGGGGACAAAAAAGACCTTGGGACCCATCCTTCATAGCTTTTCAGTTCAAAAACCCATACCAGCCATACCAATATCCCCATGAGTCAAGTAATATCAATATCCCAATGGGTTATCCCCATGGCTTGATACCAATATCCCCATCACAAACTCAGCCAGGCCTTTCTAAGTCCACCGTCTGTGGCCCCAGCCGCGGGTGCGACGCTACGAGGAAGTGCTGCCACAGCCGCAGGACAGGTCACTGGACAGGTACGGCATCCGGTGGTTGTGATTTGATGTAGCAAAGCCCAGTAAACCTTCAATTATCCAGGATTTTATATAATTTTAATTATTATATATAATTGTATATAATTATATGTATATATATATTTATTTATCTATTTATTTATTTATTTATTTATATATATATATATTTATTTATATATTTACACCAGCCATTTCTGGTTGTTGCGGGGATGGCAGGGATGGTTTATGCAATTGGGTTTCCCCACATGATATAATACACGAGGAGATATTTGAACCAACGACCTTTGGATGAAACCACACACACACACACACTGGTGATGGGGATATGCTCGACAATGTGGTGGTATACCTCATTTTTAGACAACATCATATCTTCCAACGGAGTGAGAGCTGGCAGACGGGATTGGATGAAAACTTTCAGGGTGGAATCACCTGCTCCCAACACAAAGGGCCTCAAACTACATCCACATGTTCAAAATCAGCAAAGTTGTGGCTTTTTGGGTTGGTCCTTTTCTTTTCTACGAATTTCCATCCCTTAGGGGTGTTAAGAACTAATTCATAAGAACTAATTCATACTTTCTTGATTTAGTGATGATTTTGGATGAATCAATCATCAATTTACGCATGTCTGGCCCATTTTTCTTCGATGATTTACCTCCTCGAAATGGTGGATTTTCCCATCGCGTCACCCTTTGACAGAAGGTGCCGGTGTTGAGCGCAGCTGCTGCCAGCGCAGCTGTGGCAGGGGTGATGATGGCTCGCAAGGCCAGCGCAAAAAAAGGCAGCAAGGTGGTGCGTTTGGCTGAGGAGCTGCAGTGGCTGGTGGATGGTTGGGGATGGTAAGGCATGGTTTACCCCATTTTTTTTCATGCAAAATGAAGGTTATCAAAGAGAACCTGATCTGCAAATCATGGATGTTTCATATCTATGTGAATTTACTGGAGAGTAAGCAATGAAAATGGGCATTTTACAGTCAAGACTCCATGTCCCCCGGGATTTTTCACCGCAGTCACGAGATGCATCTTCATTCCCATTTGGATTCTTTTTTCGTTTCTCATTTTGTCAAATTTGTATATATATATATATTTATTATTTTTCACATCTTCCCATCCTTTCATCCCGTTCGTTATATATATATATATATGTGTATATATATATACACCCCATGTCTTCCACCTCGCCCCATAACTCCAAGATTTTTGGCGACAGCATCGTGAGGAGAAACCTTTCGCTGGTGGCCTCATTGGTGGCGAGTCAGCTTTTGCTGGCCAGGACGGCTGATGGTCGCGAGTGTATGGCAGGAGCTGATTTGAGGTGAGTTTTTGAAGTTTGCCAAAAGTTCGGCAATTGGAACTTTGAAACTTTTTTTTTGTTGTTACCCAGTGACATGTGTTTTTTTTCCTAACACAAATTGGATTTTGACCGACTGCAATGAGGATTTTTACCACAAAACCAGGGGTTTAACCACCTGAAATGGAGATATTTCATCAGCAAAAATGGAATGTCTCCAAAAAGATGCGGGACAGAGTTGATTCGTGGAAATTGGGACATCCCACCAGGAAATGGGTCATGTCTTGTATGTCTTGGTGTCACCATTGGAAAGCGAAGGTTTCTGCTCCAGGACTTCAACTTCGACCCCCTGGGCCTGGCAGTGAAGTGCGAGAAGTACCTGCCATGGTTCCGCGAGGCGAACGGATCCCGATGATCCAGTGACGAGCAGTGACTACCAAGGATTTTTTGGAAATGTGAGAAATCATCTATGCAATCCTAACTTTTCTCTTATCTTTTGGCTTCGGGTTTTGCCTTGGTCTCCAAAAGAGTCTTTTTTCTGAGCTTCAACATGGGTAGATTTGCCAGTGATGATGACATTTAAGAGCAAGAATCGCTGCAAGGCATCACTTGGGGTAGGAAACTTGATATGTTCGCACGCGGTGGTTACATTGATTTACCTATTGCCACAGTCATGAAATTGGCATGATCATTGAGCAACAACCATTGATCCCCCATGCAATCCTGGATATTTTGTCCTCAACTGTGCGCTTTGATGGTCAGCGCTTTGATGGTTGGGAACCACTAAGCTTTTGCAGATCCATGTGATGGATGGGATCAGCCAGGCAGAGCTTAAACATGGCCGAATTGCTATGTTGGCATTTGTCGGTCTGGTGGTACCAGAGTTTGTTCGAATTCCAGGACGCAGACGGGTGGATGTTGGCCACCAGGCATTGTTTCGCCGACCTTTAGAGAGCATGAAAATGGAACCTCCCTCAAAATGGAGAAAGCCGGAATTCTAAAGATCTCTGAAATAGCTTGCAGATAGGCAAAGAATCTCAGAACTCAGCTTGTAGTGGACAATTGGGGAGGGGCATGATTTCGGTGACTATCTTGCGGGACTGATTTCGAAACATGGCAGCTTCATGAAGCTTCGTGGGGAAACCACGGATCTAGCAGGAACTCTTGTGGTGGGGATTCAGCTAACCAAGGTTTATCGACCACCAACCATCAGTCGTGAGGGCCCCATGGGCCCCATGGTACCGGATGGTACCGGAGAACCCGAAGGACCCGAGCAGTGCTACGGCGCCAAGACAGTGGTGGACGCGCACAATGCCTGCGCGGGAGATCCATATTTCCCCTTCGTTCTGGATGCCACTGTTTCTTGGGCCCCATTTGGGGCTGGTGGTCACGTTACAACTGCTTGCATATCTGGGCATGGGGACCCCTCTACACTACACTTTTTTTCCAGCAAGTGGTTGAGGAAATCATGATCTTTTCATCCAAATTCAGTGTCCCTCAATGGTTTTTGTTTGATCCATGGACAGGGTTCGGATTGATATCCCTTTTTTGGGATCTTGTTGGAGATTATGTCCTGGTCCTGGTCCTGGTCATCTTTTCGAGGCCAGGATTCAAGTCCCGCGGCTGAGGACTTTTACGGCAAGGAAGGCCACCAAGTGGGACCTCTCTTCCAGGTGGGACAGCATTGGGGGTATGATGGCACCATCAGTTAAGGTTTCGAAAATCAGTAAATATGGTAATATGGCAGTGTGTCAAAACCTTGTACCCCTGGTGAACCTCAAAATAGCTGGGATTTATGGATGTTCATCCCCCATTTTAAATGGTATTAATAGGTATTGACCCATAGCCATATATCAATAAAGAACCAGACCGGGGATTCGACCTTCGAAGAAGTTTTTTTGGCCCAAACATGTTTTTGGCACGACGAGATGTGGACATGGTGGGTCAATTTTATCCCACTGATCATTGTTGAAAGTCTGGTTTTTCCATGCCATCTCTGCCGACGTGACTCGTGACCAATGCCCTGGCAGGTCTTTGCTTTCTGCGGATTGGTGGAGATGCTGACCACCTTTGCAACTTGGTGAGGGGCACCCTCCAACATCAGCTTCTTGAGGTATGGGAGCCCTGATTGGAACTGGGTCACCATTTTTTTTGGTTCCAATGTAGGCTTTTCCGCGGAGAAAGGAAGACCTTCAACAGAAAGCAAGGGAAATGGGTATGGATCAATACCTATTAATACCATTTTTAGGGGGATGAACATCCATGTACCAGCTATTTTGATGTTCACCAGAGGTACAAGGTTTTGACACACTGCCAAATGGAAGCATTGCCCAGGCCAAAACCAGCAACGTCTCCAACAAACCGGGCCTGACTCTTGAGAATGCAGGCTCCCGTGGTGGGCCTCAGAGGTACTTAAGTACAGTCAGGTTCGTAGACATATTTAATTTCAATATCTATGTACAAATGTATCATTCTGTATACTATGAAGATGCACGACAATATCAATAACATTCAAGAACTATCAAATTACAGATTATATTATAATATATATATGTATATATTATTATATATAATCATAAATATATACATATACAATCCTATACATATACAAACATATACATACATTATCATATACATACATAATCGTATACACGCAACCATAACCATACATTACATTCCATTCTATTCCATTCCATTACACTATACTGTACTACACTACATTAAATATTAATCATACATAGAAACATAAACTATAGCAACCTTCATACATTACACTACATTGCATATTAATCCTATAGAAAGTAGCTGGGACTACATATTAATCATTAATTACACTACATTACATTACATATTAATCATACATTACATTACACTACACTACATATTAATCATTAATGATATAGCTCTCCAACTTTCCAAGTTTCTGGCAGGAGACTACCGCCTGGGCGTGAACTTCCTGCCCAAGGACGAGGCCAAGATCAAGGCGCCTTCCAGCGTCCCAGAGGATGGGATAATTTACAGTTGAACCCCTATTATATATATATACCTATGTCGTATAATATATATATATAATATAATATATATATATAAATATATAATATATATCTATGTCGTATAATATATATATATATTATACATATCTATGTATAATGTATATATATATATCTATACGCAATAGCTATCCTGAAGTGGATAGGATAACGGATTTTCCGAACAGAATCGCATTTTAGTGAGGATCTTTTGAAATGGACTATATACTATCTACTCCAGTATGACCATACTGTATATATCTAATCTATATTTGAAGGACAAACATACCCTGGTTTCCTGTAAATGTATATATTTTCAAAACAAACCATTGTTTCCAGAGATTTCTTTTTTTTCAGGGCGATGTGGTGAAACATCACTTGAAATCGCGGTGAAGCAGTGATTGAATTCCCCTGAAAGCCCAGAATAATTCGTGGTGAATGACACTGGTTGAATGCACCCTCAACTTTGAGGTGTGTTTTTTTCAAAATAGAGCTTCCACATCGCTTGAAATGAAATAACTGTCAATTTCACAGAATTGTCTAAAGATGTCAAAGGGAGATTTACATGGCTTGGAACGAATCCAGGGTTTCCAATTTTCCCAGCAACACCAATGCATTGAACATCATATCATTGGGTCTGAAAATATAGGATACCACCATGGTTTAGGACATTATTTTTCTCTTAACTTGGCCATCGAATTTTTGAATCATGGTACGTAAATGATGGTAAACAAATGGTACATCTCCAGTTGGGCAATTTTTTTGGAGCCCATGAAAACCCCATTTAGGTCCCATTGAAATCCCATGGTGAGCCGAGAACCCAGGAGATGAAATTGAAGGAGCTGAAGAACGGCCGCCTGGCCATGTTGGCCTTCGGTGGCGCTATCACCCAGGCGCTGTGGCATGGATTCCTAAATGAAATGTTGCTACAGAAGTGGAACTGGCTTCTCCTCCATTAGTTTTCGATTATATAGATAAACATAGAAAATTACAAGAAGAAGAAGAAGAAGACGAAGAAGAAGAAGAAGAAGAAGAAGAAGAAGAAGCAGAAAAAGAACAGGGAGAAAAAGAAGAAGAAGAAGAACAACAACAACAGCAACAGCAACAACAATAACAATAACAGCGGAATGTTACAGTTTTTCCAGTAGAATCCCCTCCAAAGATTCGTGCCGAGCGCTTCACGCAGGCGACCTTGACGGGCAACAGCTTCCCTTGGCTCTACGCCCAGGAGGTGCCACTCTTTGGAACCAACGGTGATGCTGCTTGAACAAAAGAAAACGTAGGATAATGGTGGGAAAATGGTGGGAAAATGGTAGGAAAATGGTGTGATAATGGTGATATTGTGGGGATATCACGGGGATAATGGTGGGATATAATCGATATAATGAGTGAAAATCCAGAGGAATTTCTGTGCTAGACCGCCATAAACCATTGGGAACAGCCATTTTTTGCGGGGAGTGTTTAGGGCATTGGGTTTATCATGCCGCTCCAGGAGAAGTCCGGCTTCGGTGCACGAACTGCCGCCATGCTGGGAGGCAGGGCTTGAAATATCCTGCGACTTATGGCCTGAGCTTGGAAAGCTGTGATTCAAACGTTGTGTTGAGGTGCTGTATTTGTAAAAATATTTTCAATGCCGATCATTTTGCTACGTCCATGAGTTGAAGTGCTTCCGAGTTTCCATTCTCGGTGTTTCTTGGGCCATTCTCGGTGCTGTCACGTAAGTGTGCCGTAGGTACTCGTGCTTCCAAGGTTCAAAGGCTTGGCAAGGGGTTTGAGTGGATTAACGGCTTTGTTATGCTTGCAGCTGCTTGCCTCAAAAGAGGAGAACAGAATACCAAGCAAAATAAACCAATGGCAGGGTCCATTGGGGATACCTTAGTTTGGTACACCGTTTTTTTGTGAATGCCACCAATTTTAAAGGGAGTTTTGTTTTGAAAGAGATTGGTCAACACAGATGTGATACCTTTGTAAAATATCAGGAATCATGGACGACAGATTGATGGCAGGCATGATTTGGCACCTTTCTGGAGACGCGCTGCTGATTTTATAGGGGACATGCCCAATGATACGTATCGTTTCTATGCGCACTTGATGTTCGAACCGTTATCTTTATACATACTTGCAAGCTGTCAAAAATTTCGAAAAAACAAGTGAACTTGGAGACAAGCAAGGTTGGTGCAACAAACAACAGGCGCACTTTTGTCTTTGCATTTAGATTTATACCTTTCCACCGGTGAAGCTTGGTGAACAAGGTTTCCACCTTTTCCCACTTCTCAAAGGCCTTTGCTGCGAACATATTTCCAACACTCAAGTTTGTGCCCAACAAAGAGGGAACTGGGAACCCCAATTTTTGGCCGTTTTATTAGGGAATTTAGGGAACAACCCCAAGTAGCCAGATTCTTCGCAGATCTTGTTTTCCCCCATCTACAGTCTCGCAGGCGAGCTGAAAAGGGCTACAAGATGAGTGCGGCAGTGCCCTTCCTCCCCATGTCACCTGCATTGGAGGGCATCCCAGGCGAGGGGTGAACCGGTGAACCTATGGCTAAAAAAACTTTTTTTTCCCGAAAAAAACACCAAATGGGGGTGTCTTAGAACTCCAATGGTTACCATTTTTATTGCAATAGATTGGGATGTTTACCTTGTTGATAAACATCCATTTGCCACCTATTTGACCCAATGTTCTTCCATGTTTTTCCCAAGGTTGGAACCTGACAGGTGAGGAGGAAGGCTTTGACCCCATGGGATTCTCTCTGGCCATTGACATCCGCTGGCTGCGGGAGGTGGGGAGCCCGGGTACGGCCCGGGTTTCCACAAAGAAATGCTAGCGGGACATATATATATATATATACATAATTTGTGGAATATATGTATATATATATATATGCTTAGGGATACAGCCATATTCGACACTTTTTTGAATTTTATGGTTTCTGAAACAACCAGATGGTGGAAAACAACTTTGATTTTCCCAACAGAGTCGAGGGATGAACATCCATGAGCAGCAGCTATTTTGATGTGATAACATCTCTAGCCAGATGTACAGATAGATATGTGATATGTGAACTGCTTGTATGGAATTTAGAGTATAAAACCATGTATTTTGAGTGCTGAATATAAGTTACCTATGATAATTTCAGGTTGCCCCATTTCGTGTTTTTTGGTCATCTCGCATGGAAGATGACCCATTTGTAGACGACTTACCTTTGGAATCTCAATGATGTCCACATTTTCACATTTTGAAGTTCAATGTTTTAAAATGACCCATATTTTTCATATTTCCAGATTTTCAACATGTTCATATTTCAAGATTTCATTGCCTACTATATATATGGTTGATCACTAAGGTGAGATTTATACACGATCATGTCTGGTCCCGGGGTAGCATTTCGGCTCACAGGAAGAAGTGCTAGGCCACCGAAGGCTCAGACCTTTGAAGGGAGAGCTGTGCCTGGGTGGCCTATTGGCAGCCCCCTTGGTGGGTCCATACCTTTGTGGAGGACCTCTTCACCAAGGCGTGGCGCCTTTTTGAAGGGCGAGCGCTGCTTCACCCACCTTTGTGCGCTGGTCCAGTCAAAGCTGGAGGGCGCCGGAGGCCATGGAGCGGCTTCGTAACAAAGGAGCCAGCCTGGGGCTCAACGAGGATGAAATCCAGCAGGCCCTGAACTTGGGGCGTTCCAAGCAGGAGCTGGCTTGGGTGATGTGCAGCGACCTTTCGAGTCGAGCACAAGACCTGGCTCGTGAAGTTTTCGAGCAGGAACGGATCCTGGAATATGAATGCTATGATGCCCGTTGGCAAGGCCAGGGGAGGGCAATCATCACCTTGAAGGACTGGGAGGACAGGGAAAACTGCCTGTTCACTGGATCCCACGGACCAGCTTCAGATGGATACTACTCCTGGTTTGCTGAGCACCAGATGGGGCTGGAAAATGGCCTTTACCATGTGTGCGCCTGTGAGGCGTCCCGATGCCGGTTAAAGAAGGCCAAAGGCGACCGGAGAGAGCTCATCCACATAGACAAGTGGAGGCTGCTGACCCCATTGGAGATGGCAGAGACCGGCTATCTCAAGGACATGGGAGTCCGCATGGGGGAGGGGCTTCTTGCCTCGGCGGCACGGGCGAAGAAGGCCACAGCCCCCCGTTTGGGGAGTGGTCTGGATGCCCTGTTGGCGGAAGAGCCTCCGGAGGCTGAGCCGTCAAGGCCGGAAAAGGAAAGACATGTAGGAAACCAGCCTGGCCAGCGATCACGGAGCCCTCGGAAGGGGCGAGAGTCGATGGGAAAGTTCCTGGCCCAGCAGGCTGCGAAGCAAGGTGAGGCCGAGCCAGGTGAGAAGAGAAAGAAGAAGAAAGATGAGAGAGGAAGGAAGGCAAGGCGCCGAAAAAGGGCTAGCTCAGCTTCCAGCTCAAAGGAAGAGAGCGATTCTTCGAGTTTTCAGCTGACCCCAGCCCGGGGGGGCAGCGAACTCTGGAGAATAGCCCAAAAGAAGCCCGGGCAGCTCACTCGTCTGGCGCTGGACGAGATGACCCGCTATCTGGCGGACAAGTCGGAAGCGGGGGATCTGGATTCGAAGTGGCAGGGTCAGAAGGTGACGGCCTACTTGAACCAGATTACTCTAGGAGCACATCCTCCAACGAAGGCAGGGGTGAGGATGGTCCGGGAGCTGCAGACACTGGCAGTGACTCTCGACCACATCCTGGCAGGGCGCTTGGCGCAAGCCACGGACACCCTTCTGCAGCGCTACAAAGCCTGCGAGATGAGTTTATGGGAAAACAGCTGGGCGACTGCCCGCCACTTGGAGATTATCCCTCCGAGCATGGCATCGCTGGTCCGAACAGAAGAGCGCGAGCTGGCCACCAGGCAAGAGCTAAAGGCGGTAAAGCTAAAGGAAAGCCTGCGGAAGGCCGAGAAGGGCTAGGGACTTGGCAGCGGGCCCGACCCGCGCTCGGGAAGGCCCGTGAGCCCGCTGAGGGGGGGAAGGAGTCCAGAAAGGATGCCGGCCCAAACCTCAATGAGGAGCGACCTGACACCCTTGGAGCCCAAGCCAAGCAAGGTGACGTTCAACGAACAGAGGATAAAGGAGCAAGCTCTGGAAGCAGAGGCCCGGAGAGCGGCCCGGAAGGACGCCGTGAGGACAGGCAGCCCCACGAAGGAGGAGCCTGGAGCGGCCGGGGACGCGACCGGGAGTCAAAAGCCCAAGACAGGGTACTGGAAGAAAAGAAAAGAAAAGTGGAAACGGCAGGCTGCCAAGAAGGGAAAAGGCAAAGGCAAGAGCGGAGGCCCCCTGGCAGGAGCCGCAGCCCGGCAGGTCCAGATGACATAACATCAGGGAAAGTGAGGGAGCTGCTGACCTGGCTTCAGAGTAATGAGGGGGGTCACCTTACAGCAGCTCAAATGGGACAGTATGTCTTCCTCCAAGCTGTCACCCTGAATGGCCCGTTTGGCCGTTTGTTGGAAAATTCACTGAAGCCCATCTGGGTGGAGGGCGAGAGGAGTCGGAACCTTTTGCCGCTCCCCCTATGGCCGGATGTAGCATCGGCAATGGAAGAAGTTTTGGCAAGTCAAAAATATAAAGACCAGCCTGGTGATTGGCGACAAAGGGGGGCCACAAAGACAAAAGCAGGCAGAGCCTTGCGTTGGCATGGCCTGCTGATGTGGCATGGTTTGATTGTGGTAGCCTTGAACTGGCTCTACACGGGCGGTAACCTGGAAGGGGCGGTAGGTCCACCAGCGGGTAGGGCCACATCTCAGCAGGAGTCTGCTTTGTGTAGAATCTGGGAGCTGGTCAAGGTCTTCGTGGATGAAAAGCCCAAGAAGGGTGGTGTTCCCAGGACTCCTGAGGGAGGATGGGAAAATGACCTTGGTCAATTGCGTGTCTCGTACACGGGGGAAGTGGTAGAGAAGGCAATGCCACTGACCTATGAGCAGATCTGGCCTGGGCTTCCCACGCCCCATCATGGAGGCCTGGTGGACATCCTTGAAGTGGTGGACGAAAAGTTAAAAGCAAGGCTGCTGCGGCCTGAGTTGATGTTGCGGGAGATTACAGAGGAGATCCCCTGTCCACAAGTGATGTGCAGTGACGAAGAGTGGCCACGAGTGGTGAAGGCCCTGTGGGAACGCAACTTGGTTGCCCCGGTACAGACCAGGCCTACGGTCCAGGGAGTACCGGTCCTCAACGGGGCTTTCGGTGTGATTAAACCGGAAAAATTCACTGACTCGGGGTTGCCAGTGCTCAGAATGATAATCGACCTGAGGGCGTCCAACACAATCCTCGACCAGCTTGAAGGCGACGTCCAGACGTTGACGGGCGCCGCCAGTTTCCAAAAGCTAATGGTCGGACCCAACGAGGAACTCCTAGTGAGTGGGGACGACTTGAACTCAGCGTTCTACTTATTCAGATTGCCGGAGAAGTGGCCGAACTACCTGGCCCTGCGCAAGCCTGTCCCTTGGTCTGTTTTCGAAGCCGGCAAGGCTGGAGAGACTTTGGTGGGCCTTTGCGTCCTGCCCATGGGATGGTCAAGTGCCGTGGCCGTGATGCAGAATGCTCACAGGCAACTTGCACTTAGGACGGAACTTAGGTATGGCGCAGGCCTGTTGGCGAAGGCTGAGATTCGCAAAGATGCTGTGTTCCCATCACTTGATGAAGCCCCGGCCTGGACTATATATCTAGATGATACGACGATTTTGGAGAAAGTTGCCAGGGAGGTGGCCAGGACCCTTGAGGGTAAGGCCCCTGAGGAACAGACCAGGCTGAGAAAGGCATATGAGTGGTGGGGAATCCCGACAAATGAAGGGAAGGCCCTGGAAAGGTGCAGGCAAGCAGAGAGACTTGGTGCGGTCATCGATGGCGAGCGGGGATTGCTGCGAGTCAGCACCAAGAGAAGCTTAGACCTCATGAGCCTAGGTGCGTGGCTGAGGACCCAGCCAGCGTTGCCCAGGACTGGGCTCCAAATTTATGCAGGAAAGGCAGTTCATGTCCTGCAGTTTCGCAGGTGCTTATTTTCGGTGCTCCAGGAGGTCTTTACCAGCATTGCTCAGAACCCCGAGCGGGTGAGGGCAACTACCAGTTTGTATGATGAGATGCTGGTCCTGGAAAGCCTGCTGCCTGTGGTGGTGTCGGACCTTAAGGCCGATATCGACCCAGTTGTCACCGTCAGTGATGCCTCTGAGACAGGTGGTGGCGCCTGTTATGCCTCGAGGCTGAGCCGCTTGGGAGTTGAGGAGCTTGAAGAAATGATGGATGCTGAAGGGCCCGTGGATCAGACGCCGGGTAATGATTTCAGGGATGTATCACAGAAGGTCGTGGTTATTGACCTGTTTGCTGGCATCGGGGGACTTGAGCGGGCTTTAGAGCTGGCACAGCTCAAGCCTTGGTTCACTGTGGCGGTAGAGTCAGACCCTGACTGCCGTCGATGCTTGCGTCGCCGCTTCCCTGGAATGGAGTTTTGCAGTGACGTCAAGAAGGTGGACCAAGAACAAGTCAAGAGATGGCTCAAGAAGATTCCTGATGCAAATGGGGTGATCGTGGGAGGTGGCAGCCCATGCCAAGGGCTGTCGCGTCTCTCAGTGGATCGTCGCCATTTGGAAGATCCCAGAAGCAAGCTGTTTCGTGATGCTGTGGCGGTCATGAAGATGGTGAAGGAGGAGAGCAAGCTCTTGGGGATGTGGTGCATCCGTTTCCTGGAGAACGTGGTGGCTGATGATGTTGACATACAAGAAATGAGCCTGGCTTTGGAAATGAGGCCGAGGCTGGTGGATTCCCAGTATCTCTCCCGGGCTCGGCGACCGAGACTATTTTGGTTTTCAGTAGACTTGGTGAGCCATGAGGAGGTGGAAGTGAGAGAACATGAATTGTTTGATGAGGTCATCTATGGAGCTGCAACAGAGCCCATGTCAAGTGTCCTGTGCCCCGGGTGCCGGTGGATCCCAGGAGAGCGGGATAGTGGGAAGCGTTTTCCCACATTCACCCGAGCTATCCCGCGGCCTAGGCCACCAAAGGCCCCGGCAGGCCTAGCTTCAACAAGTGAAGAGGGCCTGCGGCGCTGGAGAGAGGATGGGTACAGGTACCCACCCTACACTTATGAAAGGGACTACATGATTGAAGAAGAGGATGGCCACCTCAGACCTCTGAAGGCCTGCGAGAGGGAAGTTCTCATGGGGTTCAAGAAAGGCCATACCATGGATCTCGCTCGCAAGCCACCGGAGTCACCTGAAGAAACGCAAAAGCTGGAGGACCAGAGGTGCGCCGCCATTGGAAATGCCTTCCACGCTACAGTGGTTGCGGCCCTCCTGGACCACATGTTGTGGTCGTTTGGGGTGAAACCGCTGGTGGGCCACCATGAAATTGTGGAGTCCTGGGCCTCAGAGATAAAGAGACTGTCCGCAGTGGCAGAGGTCCATGAGGTGGAGGTGGTGTTGGATCAGGCCCCAAAAGGGGAAGATCCAGGGTATGACACCGACACCACACAGATTGGAAGCTACGAGATGGAGCGCAAGAGCCGAGGCATCCCAAGGAGCCCAGCAAGCGCCACAAGCATAGCAGGGATTAGTGAACTGGACCTGAACATGTCGGTCCGAATGGTTCAGGCCTTTGTGCGTCGCCAAGAGTATCGAGGAAGCGACGTCAGGCTAGACGTGGGAACGCTGTTCAGGCCTGATGCTTTCCCTCGGGCAACGGTGAATCCTCATCGATGGTTATGGCATGTGGCCCATGCATATCCGTTTCACACTCAGGAGCACATCAATGTGCTCGAGCTCAGAGCGTTGATTCACTGCGTTGAATGGCGCTTACGAAGGAAAACGGTTCTTGCATTTGGCCGACTCCCAGATTACCCTCAGCGTGTGCGTAAAGGGCCGATCCTCCAGCAGGACCCTAAATCGACTTCTCCGAAAATTGGCGGCAATGAGCGTGGCAGCAGGTCTGTACCCAGTCCTGGCATGGGTTGAGTCTCACCTCAACCCAGCAGATGAACCCAGTCGGCGCTATGAGCAGTAACCCAAGAGGAAAGGCACCACTGGCCGTGCTCAATCGCCCCACCAAGGAGAGTCGAAAGATGGAACGGAGGAAAGTTGGCCGCTTATCCCAGTTGGTAGTGCAAGCCAAAACCAAGACACGCTATGAGGAAAGTTTTCGTAAGTTTTGTGAGTTTCACCACCTCCAAAGGGAGATCACCATGTTGGACCGAGAAAAAGTAGACTT